CCTGGACAGAACGCCCCCTCCCTCCCCCCCGCCCATGATCAAGTGTGTCTGGTTTTTTGACGGGGTCTACCTGGCAACCCTAAGCATATGACCTACCATAGACGCAGACAGCTGGGTCTTGGGACAACTTGTACAAGGCAAAGGGAGAGCCTTTCACGGGGGGAGGATCCTCCTTGAAAAATTCAGCCAAATTATTCCCTGTTCTTTCGAACGCCCCCTCCCTCCCCCCCGCCCATGATCAAGTGTGTCTGGTTTTTTGACGGGGTCTACCTGGCAACCCTAAGCATATGACCTACCATAGACGCAGACAGCTGGGTCTTGGGACAACTTGTACAAGGCAAAGGGAGAGCCTTTCACGGGGGGAGGATCCTCCTTGAAAAATTCAGCCAAATTATTCCCTGTTCTTTCTACAGACTCAGCCATGGTTTTGGCCCAAGCCCTGAGCTCAGGGAGAAGCGTCTTCTCTTCCTGCCTCAGGAACAGACTGAGTCACGTTCGGTACCCCAGAGATACAGCATCTGTCTCCTGCCTCCATGTCCATTCAGGTCCGGCTAGCTTGGGGAGGGGAGGTGAGGGGTGCAGCCGGCAAAAACTGCCCCACCCCCCTTTGGTGAGGAGAAGATACAGCACCCCCATGGTGCTGTCCACGATCCATGTTGTCCTCATCATAAAGTAAAGCCGCGCCCACCTTTCTGAAGCCAACTGCCCATTTCAAAGGCTCAACAATGGAGGCATCCGCATCCCTAGTCTCTTTGGAAAAATATCGGCTTATATTTTTGGAAGGAAATTCCCTTCTTTGGAATGTCCTACCGGAAACAGAGAACTTTTCTTTGTTTCATCCCAACTGCCCTGTCACGGGCTGGGTGTGCACGGCCCCTTTTTAGGCAGGGCTCACCAAGTGCTCCACCCTGCGAGTGTTTCAGACTCTGTGGACAAGGTCCTCTCACTATGTCCCTGCTCCCCTAGAACTGTCGGGCTTCATGGCCACAGTGAATACAACATCCCTTCTCTCAGGAGAGTGAGGCCCAGTGGCCAGGTTCCTTCCCACCCCCATCCCTCAGGGCTGTGGGAGCTAGTGGCGTGAATCAGATATCACATCCTTCCCTTAGGACAGTGAGGCCTAATGGCCAGAGCCAGTGGGAGAGCCCCCTGTACTCAGGGCAGTAAGGCCTAGCGGACAGAGTCAGTGTCAAACGCTCCCTGTTCCAGGGCAGTCAGGTCTGGCAGCCAGAGTGCCTAGTCACAGCTGTAGCCCCCCCCCCCCCTTGGGGGTTAATGGGGTGGGGTAGGAGGACCCAGGCTCTCCCTCTTCAACGTGTACCAGCCCAGGGCCCTGTCAGTGGTGGGTGTGTCCCGCCATTAGCTCAGCAGGGAATCCACTCCCAGCATGCTGAGCTCTCAGGGTTTTCACCTCCCCACCCTGGGCTACTTCCTACCAGCTCCTGTGAAGTCGGCTTCTTCTCCAGTCACATCCAGGTTGAGGGCTTCTCCAGCCGCTCCCCACTGACTGGCCTCTGCAGTTTGGTCCTCCTGTAGCTCCTTCTCCAGAGCTCTGGTAGCAGCTCCTTCCTCCGCAGCAGTCAGCCCCGACTGAGCTGCTCCACTGGCCTTTATACTTGTCCCCCAGCTGGAGCATGCTCAGTAGAGCTGTGGGGGCGGGGTTCTCTTGGCCAGGTAGCTGTGGTCCATTCTTTCATGCCCAGTGCAGGGTTGGTTCACCCCATCATAGCTCTCTTCCTCCAGAACAGGAGTCTCAGCAGAACAAATAAACAGGATGACACAAGGATCCGGACCAGCACTCCTTTCTTCACCATGCATTTTGCAGCACACTAGGGCGGCCAGGTGCCCAGTTTTCAACTGGCAAGTCTGGTTGAAAAGATTTCCAACTGTGTCCAGTCAGAGCTACTGACTGGATGCCCATCCCCAATTACTGGAGAGAAGGGAGGTGCTGCTACCATCACCCACACCAGCCCCTACTCAGCTGGGGCCACCTCCTACCTGCATTGGACAGCTGAAGCTTCTGGTCTTGGCTCCACTGTTGACTCCCTCTTTACTCAAGCTATGTCTAGACTGCAGGCTTCTTTCGGAAGCTTTTCTGGAAAAGATCTTCCAAAAAAACTCCTTCCGAAAAAGAGTGTCTACAATGCCAAAGTGACAAATGGCATTTAAGCTGTGATTACTATGGGCGGAGTGGCCACCAGGGCACCTGTGCTTTCTCCTCTTTCTCTGAAAGAACTCCCTCTTCCCCATCCACACACGTCTTTTTCCAAAAGAGCTCTTTCGGAAAAAGGCTTCTTCCTCGTAGAAAGAGATTTACCCCTCGGTTCTTTCGATTTTCTTTCAGAAGAACACGATTGCCGTGGGGCTGTAAGTGAAGTTTTTTCGGAAACACGGCCGTTTTATTCTGAAAAAATTCTGCAGCATAGACATCCTCGGGTGTGAGAGGGGAAAAACAGCAAGCCATAGGGAGGAGAAGGGAAGAGGAGGTGACAGAGAGTGGGGAGTCAGGGGAAGAGACCAGGTGGGGCAGGTTTCCAAACTCTGGCTGGAGAGTCCATTTATTATATTACCAAGTTGGCCACCCGACTCCACAAAGAGTCGATGCTGCCTTGAATAGGGTGCTCTTGGTGTGAGGTGCTAGTGAGCATTCACAAGGCTGTCAGTCTGGCCTACGGCAGGACGTTACCTGACCATTACGTCCTAATACATAAACCACGGCAGGAAAAAGCAGCCAGGCTGCTTCTCCTGCCCATTTA